CTGTCCACGGCTTCAGGTTCTGGTGAGTGTTTCGAGTGAGACTTCCAGCATTTTCTTTGCTACAAACAAAGGGATTTGAAGTGCAGCCTGTGGGGATTTGTCTCTTTGACTTCATAGATGTGGTGTGAAGGCTTTGGAAGAATTCAGCTAGAAACTTGACCCTGAAGAACCTATTGTCCCTCCTCTACTGCTCACAGTAATCATACCACAGGCACCTGAGAATGAGTTCCAGGACACTGGATTCTCCTGGTACCAGCCTCAGCAAGGCTGGGCTGAGCTGGCTGCGCAGCGGGTGTCAGGCCATCCATAGCAGAGGAGCCTGCAGCTCTTCCCACCTGTATTATGGAGCCGGGGAGCTGAGACCTGGCTCTGGGAAGCAATATTCCTCATGGGAATTCAGGCTCAGTCTCCTCTGTGTGGTGCAGCGAGGGCTGGAGCAGCTCTGCTCTGGAGCCAGGCTGGGAGAGCCGGGCTGGGGCAGCTGGAGAACAGAAGGCTCCTCAAGGGGACACCTTAGAGCAGCTCCAGGGCCTAAAGGGGCTCCAGGAAACCTGGAGAGGGGCTTGGGACAAGGGATGGAGGGACAGGCCAAGGGGAATGGCTTGACCCTGTCGAAGGGGAGGTTTAGCTCACACTGGCTGTGTTTGGTGCAGAGCTTGTCCCACTGTGAGCTGATTACGGACGATGGGATCCGTCACTTGGGCAACGGCGCCTGCGCCCACGACCGCTTGGAGGTGATCGAGCTGGACAACTGCCCCTTGATCACGGACGCCTCCCTGGAGCACTTGAAGAGCTGCCACAGCTTGGAGAGGATAGAACTGTACGACTGTCAGCAGATCACACGGGCAGGGATCAAGAGACTCAGGGTAAAGAACAGACCGTGACACCCCCGAAGGCTCTGACTTGACCACTTCATGCGGTGGGAGGAGGGAGGGCCGAGGTTTCCCACTCCTCACGAGCTGCTCCTTGTTGGGAGCACTGGGAGAGCCACCAGCCCTTGGGTTAGTAGCTGTTGTGCACTGAGGGTTGGGTTGGCTGCGAGGGAGGAGGTAGTTGCTGCGTCCACCGAGTGCTTGTTTTACAGGCGCTCGTACGTGGCACTGCTCTTCCAAGCAGGGGACAAAGAGCTTGTGTCACACCAGCGTGTGGAGCGGCACCTCCTCTCCTCGGCCACGTCTGCTCGGTGCAGATCGTGGTGCACTTCACTGGTCCTTCATCTCTAACTTGCCAGGGACAAC